AGAAAATTATGTTTTATTACATTTACAGTGATTTTACATTAATTTACATTTTAAATGTAAAATCAGTTTATTTATGTAAATTTAATGATACTCTAGAAAAACAGTACAAAACTGTAAAATACACAGTAAAATACTTTTATATTACTTTTGTTTTTTACAGTGTACATTGAAATAAATGTTACATCCACTCCAAGTGTCACGATCTAAATCTAAGACTACCTTAAATATTAATTTTGTTTAGCATTATTTGAGCATCGGTATCATGAATATACCATAATTTCAATAAATTTAATCTCTGTGATGAAGACATGACATGTGGGATAGGTGGCTGGCAAAATTAGAGCATGTCGAAAGTTTTTTTTTTTCTTAAATTTAACCACATTCACTGAACACTGAAATGACACTAATGTTCACATGTTCTATGTAATAGTTTAGACAGATCACACAGCTTTATGTCCAGAAGGAGTTTTTCTAAATCCCTGACGGGCCTGGATCGCAGAGGGTCTCGGGGTCAGTGGACACCCTCTTTTCAATTTGTTGCTTCGCTGCCCATTTAGCCTGTAGCAATTTTCTTTATGGCTCTAATTCCCCTTTTTCTCACCTAACTAAACTTAACAGTGCACACCCACTCGCTGTGACCCTTGTGGTCACACAGAGTCCTCATCTCCTGGCTCATCTGTCGATCCTGAGATCAGCTGTGATCAAACGGCCAAGATGTCCCGAATCTGCTGAGAACAAATCAAACCTCTACAAGCACTTGCATAAGCAAGATGCTGCCATCTTTTATACACAGTCTATGATGCTGGCACAAAGCTAGCCATGAACGAGTGTTTGAAAACCTCAGAAAGACTTCCTATATGTTTGTCATGGTCGTTGTAATATTTGTTGTTTTTCTTATGTTACGTTTGCATTTTTCCATGTCATCCTGCACTCTGGGTTCACCGATCAGTGTTAGTCATTCTATTCTGGTTACTTCCTGTTGTAGGTTTTCTTTCTTTCCTCTTCCTTGTTTCTCTGCCCCTTAATTGTTCCAGTCTGTGTTTTGTTCTACTATCAGCTCTTTGTGTAAGTATATGTAGTCTTTCTTCTTTGTGAGATCATCCATTTACCTCTCAGGTCCATCTTTCCCTGCACCTGTGCTTCCTATCTCATGCATCGACCTTCTTAGTTTGTGTTGTCGTTTTTTTGTTTTGTTTTATTTTTACTTTTTGCTTCCTAAGTCATCATTTGGGTCCTCCCATGCTCTAATCTTGACAATGTGCTTTTTAAGAGGGATTCAAGCAGTTATGTGTGCAGATTAAAATGTTGGTGTTTTATTCTTTTCTGGCAATCACACAGCTGCTGTGAAGTAACGAAAATTGATATAACCAGTAAAATAATGCATTGCATTTAAAAAAGTAAAGAATATGTGTAATGCATGACTTTTTTGAGTAATGACCCGATTTCTTTGGTGTCATGTGTGCAGCCTCCTGCAGCTTCTTCACCTAAATAATTTCCAGTAGTGCAAACACATCTGAAGCTGACTATTTCCTGCTGTGTGCTACATGACAGAAACAACTATATCACGTCCCAAACATTCACTTATGAAAGCATCTTATGTTTGTGTGTCAGTCTTGTGTCTCTTTGTCTTTTTACCTATGCAGACGATATCCATGAAGCCATACATGCCGTAGCAGATTTGGAAGAGCAGGTCCTGACGTTGCCACTTGGCTGAGGGGCTGAGGGAGGACCAGATGAGCCAGGAAATACTGGCGATGAGGAACAGGGAACCCAGAATAATGGCTGCTATCTGCACCTTCTCAATGACGGTCAGAGAGATGGCCTGCCACTGAGGGAGAAAACACTTTAAATCAGTGGTGGGGGAAAAAAATCAGGTCATTTACAGGAACAAAAGTACCAGAGGAACAGTGTAAACATACTCCTGCACTCAGAATGAAGGCTATGGCTTTTATAACTATATGATTAACTAAATGTCAAACCTAGGTGTGAACAAAAATGATGTGAAAACATAAAAAACCCCCGATTAAAACCCACACAGAAAGTAAACTAAAACTAGCCAAAGCTAAACCCAATACAGAGACTAACTGAAGTTAGATGGCCGCTCCTCCCTGAGCCTGGTTCTGCAGGAGGTTTCTTCCTGTTAAAACAGAGTTTTTCCTTCCCACTGTCGCTAAAGCAGGTCTGTTGGGGTTTTCTTTGCATTATTGTAGAGTCTTTACATTACGATATAAAGTTCCTTGAGGCAACTCTTGTTTTGATTTGGTGCTATATAAATAAAAGTGAATTGAACTGAATTTATATCTCTGACTCTAATAGAATAGATTTACATGATTCAAAGATCAAAATAATCCCTGTTAATCCCCCCAAATCACATTCTGTCCGAAACAGAATATGATTTATTCCCTTCCTTTCCCGTTAAGCAAACCTGCCTGTGATTGGCTGCCCCTCACAAACAAAAGGTTTGAACATTAGATGGGTGTCATGTGTGTGCTCGCAGCAGAACTGTGGAAATATGCCAACAGACCCCATTATCTGAAAAAC